AGAATAAGAAATGTCGTCTCTTTTTTTGTCATGTACTTTGGAGAAAATAAATTATCAGACTCATTGCTAGTCTTGATTATTACCTAAATCCAATCAATAATAAGTCACTACAACTAGTTGCATTTCACATGATCAACTGGCCGGTTTTAAGTAATTGTTTTATGGTTAAAAAAAATAGTTGTTTGGACCCAAAATTAGTTGTTTAGAGAAAAAAATTGATTTGTAGCTTTTGTTTAACAGTTTCTTTCCTTTTATCCTTCTCTTTACAATATAATTTATTTTTCCTACAAAGATTGTGATGTCTACGAGAGCATGTTAGTATTTCTCGACACACATCATCGACCTCGGCCTTTAGTTTGATTGTTATTATATTTTACTATTATTTCGTTTATGTCTATTTATGTTATATTGGGCTTGTTTTGTTTGTACTTTCAATTTATGTTTTATTGGATTTGTTGTGTTTGGGCTTTCGATTTATGTTATATTGGGCTTGTTGTGTTTGGGTTTTTAAGTATTGTTGGTTAGGAATTTGATGTATTATTTAAAACAGACGTGTTTCCTTATACGGGCAGTTATTATAAGATTGAAAGAAATGAACTGTTTTTTGTGTTCTCTGTAATCATCTTCCCATCGTACGCTATCCTCTGCATCATTTGGTATCAATTAACCGAGACGATTCTCGATGCCGCCGAGACGACGAGATGCCGAACTGACGATCGTCTTCAATGTATGGACGATTAGATGCAATTGTTGGACACTCGGGTTACAGATCTCTCTACCGGGATCAAAGACATACGTCTCTCCCTTGCTACTTGGTGTGTTGCAGGATCAACAGGCGAACCGTGATGCCGCTGGAGCCCAAGGCGGTTGCGGGGGTCTTAGAGGCGGTTGTGGCGGACGTGGGTTTGGCAGGGCGCCCCATCAACTGCCCCCACAACCTCTGTTCGGCGAAGCAGATAGTGATGCAACTTGGTCCAATGACAACCCCTTTGTCGAGGGTTTCGAGCAGGACAACGATGGAAAAATTCGCAACCTGCAACGGAAGGCCAACAGTTTTTGCTATTCCATGTCTCCTCGTCATCGTGCAGCAGCAGGCATTCAATCCCAAGGGTTTCACGACCAACCGCATATGGGTGCACGACAGGATACCTTCGATCGCGACGGCCGGCATGGCAGTGATGACTTCCGTCGGGCTGCGGCTGACGAGGAGACCGCTCGTCGATGGCAGGCTGAGGGGTGACGTGGAGTTGTTGATTCGGACAATGAGTATGATGGCGACATACCTCGCCAAGGCAGAATTTTTTATGGTTTCCGATGGTCGTCGTTCGAACATGGCTTCGGTGGAGTTCCGACAGTGGGTGAGGGCCACTGGGAGTCGACTCTTCGGGTTGAAATTCCTGAGTTTGTTGGGGGTTTGGACGCGTCCGACTTTCTTGATTGGTTGGCCGCCGTAGAGTCTGTTCTTGATTTCAAAGGCGTCCCGGATGAACGTAGTGTACCATTACTGGCGACTAGGCCTCGTGGACGTGCAGCGTCTTGGTGGTTGCAATTGAAGCGTGTGCGACATCGTCAGGGCAAGCCAAAAATTGCGTCGTGGTCGAAGTTTCGTAAGTATCTTGAACGTGAGTTTTTGCCGTTTAATTTTGTCACAAGAAGCCACTATATTTCAAAAATATACAGCATCACATGTATTCTAGTCAAGAAATGATAACTTGGTTGAGAAAAAAACCAATATAATGTTGGATAATTCTGTTCAGCTGGTATCGAATCTTCTTCACCAATACAATACATGTAGTTTCAGTTAAAATAACACACATAAATCATGCACTGTTGAAAATCTACCCTGCTAACTTGTATAACTTGAAAGACCCACATCCCCTACGAGAAGTCGTACATCATTATTTATTATTATTATTATTATTATTATTATTATTATTATTATTATTATTATTATTATTATTATTATTATTATTATCACAACATGTACAAAATGCTGAAAGCTAGAAGCACCACGTCAGTTTGTAATTTGTATGGGTACTGATAAACATATGAGAGCCTTTGCAATGCTTTCTTACTTGTGCAACTCATCTTGCTGAGTAGAGAAAGCTTTAGAAACAACCTTTTTTCCATGTTCACCCAACATGCCCAACATGCCAGCTCGTTCAATCTCTTTTGCTGAAATCAACACAAACAGAGACAGGACCAAACTGAATTATATATTATTTCGTTTTATCAAAATTGTGAGTAAGGATATTGATGGTATTCGTAATGGCAAGTAGTAAGTGATACAAAATTAAGAGTGAATCGCATCACCACATGTAATAATCAAATTTCAAAAATAATAATACGGTTCCATAAGCATATCTACTTTGTGCATGCTGTGTGAGATTAATCCAAGTTGGTAAGAATATCCTGGTCTTTTCTCTTGTTTATTTACTTTCCTTCACCAGTAAAAAATGGTAACAACATCTCTAGACTTGAGAAGTCCGTCGCGAGCAAACTCATAGCAACTACAGAGGTCTCTATTGATAGGCCGAAAAATATGCACGTTTTATATTTTTAACAATGTGTTTTTGTACACTTAATTTATTTGCACGTTATATTTTTCGACTTATTTATTATTTGGATGAACTTATTTGTTTTGATGTTTTATGTGCTATTTTCAGTATTTTGGAGTATTTTGTGGACACGAAGCATTGTACAGAAGTTCACTGGATCAATTATTTAGCACTCGATACCGGCCTAATTTCAGCCCAAGTTTAAAAGCCCAAATATTTGAGTTGAAATCCAAGAATTATTTGAGATGGTAATTAAGTACAAGCTGGACATGAGTTAGAGACTTGAGTTGCATTTATTTGCTAAGAAAATCAAATAGCCGAGAGATATGTTGAGGAGGACTCCACACGCAGCATATCAAAAGGATTTTACTGTTTGGAGGATTTTTTACGAAAAGAAAACGCGAGAGGGGGCGGAGAAAAAAAGAGCGAATGAATATTGACGGGTAAAGAAAGGCAGCAGCCCGATCGAGAGCATCTGACGCGGAGGGAAGCCGCACTCGCACACAAGGGAGATTTTATTCTCAATTTTATCTTTTATTTTTATTAGTATGTTATTTTAGGATTTTTATCCAGTTGGGGAAGTTTTAGGGGATGTTTGAAACCTAACTTTGATTTGTTTATGGATTGAAGCATTTATGTTTATCATTGATTAATCAAGACGCCGTATTTATTTTGTTGATGAGTTGATTCATGTTATCTGTGTATAATGTTTATAAATTATGAGTGTTTGATCTAGTTTGGCCAACTATGTTAAATGTTCATAGTTTAATTGATAGATTCAAGACTTTAATACGTAATTGTTATTGTGTCGTTTCGTTAGTAGTAAACTAGGGGTTGTGCATCTCTAGGGTAGTGTGAACATAAGTTAAATGGTCGGAGTTTTCGCATCCTTTGCTTAGATCAATCTATTTTCTTAGTAATTAATGTTGCTAGTGTATTAAATCAAGAGAATTTATTCTAGGTTGTCCACTAGTTAGATTTAGTTCAAAAGATTATTTCGCTTAAATAATCGGTAAGGGAAAATCGGTTAAAAAAATAAGGGAAAAATCGGTTAAAAAATTCAGTTAACAGAGCTTGTTGTTAGCTAGAGTTGATAATTCATTATCAATTTAAAGAAGGCGTCGAAATTAATTAATGGTAGATTTAGATTGAGTAGATTTAGATTGGGTGATAATTGAACCAAAAACTGGACTTCTTTTATTTTATTTGATTTTTATTTTATTTTCAATTTTATAAAATCAATCCCCCCATCTTTTATTGCTTTCCTAGTTTTAATTCGATTAATACGAGAATAGTTACAACTTAATTACTTCTCCTCGTGAGATCGACCCTTACTCGCCGCTACTACTAGTTAGTAGAGGTTAGTCGAGGAAAACTTATAAATTTTAATTTGCCGTGCCGCGACGCACGGTCATCTATTCTGTTGGCATGAAAAGGCAACTCATTGCTCAGAATTCCCGTAATAAGATACTTTGCATGATGGCAACACGTCGCTTATAAGTTATAACATTTGGTTGGTCTGACATGCAAGTATAGATTAAAAAGGAAAAAATAAAAAATAGAAGAGGAAGAAGAAGAAGAAACGGAAAATCATTTCTATAATTGACCTCATAAGCAGAGAATCTTAACCCTGAATTCCATCATGATTTTCGATCGAGGTGATGCCAAAAGGCAAAAACAAGAAGAAGAAAAATCGCGATGTGATCAGATGACCCTACAGTCTGAAAACCGTGAAACTCTTGTACCAACAGTCTATAATATAATGTAACATAAGAAACAAAGACGAAAAAAGAAAAACAAAAAAAAAACAACCATTTTAAGAGGGCCAAGTAACAAGGAATTACTTGATATAGTTACCTTCTGTTCAGCAAACCATGCCATAACTCAACCCCACCTTCCAAAATTTAATAATTTGCATGATCACACAAGATATGCCTTACAGCCATAGAGGTTGAAGACACGATATATATCCATTTCAGAATCAAAGGAAAAGAGTGACATGGCATCTAAGGAATCGTAAAAGACAGAGGAAGGACATTGAATATAATAGTCACATTTATGATAATTTTTTCACGGTACAAGTTTGCAAGATCATCAATGATTTTCTGATGACGATGAACATCGCCACACACGATGCCAAAGTTCAACGAATATCTCGTCTATAATTTATTGAAAACTTCCAAATCAGACAATTTCTCTGCTATAAAGTGCAAGACAACCTAACTTCAATTATGAATAGATAACATACAGCACTGCAAATTATCCCCAAAGAGCTTTTTTCTTATATTTTTCCCATTTTTGGTGGTTATGGGGAAAATGAGAACCTTATGCAAATGGAGCTATTCATTCATAAAAGCAACGTATCCAGAATTCAAAAAGCTATGTATAAACACAGAAGGCAAAAAGGAAAGCCTCATTGTGTGGGAGGTTTAATTAGGCCATTCATCCACATCTGAGCCATAAAAAGAAAGGAAGCAAACAATAATGCAGATGGTGTATAACATAACCAACTTACATCACAAAAACAACATAAATGTTTTCATATAACAATAAAGGCGATACCTTCCTCCACAGAGAGCTTCATTGATCGTTTTTCAAGTTCAACAGCTTGCTGGCTGAGCTCAACGGAGGATAGCAACCGAAGCACTGAACATCAACAAGAAACTCAGCATTTGAAAAGAAATTATAGAAAGAATTAAATGAGAATAATAAAATGAAATGACATATACTCTGAACATATTCTTGGTTCGACTGATCCAACGTTTTCAACAAACTCTGCAAGCAGCGATACCGCTCTTCCCAGGATGCAACAACGTTTGCTCTCGTGGATGAGGAATCTGGTGAAAAAGCCATAGGCAGAAGTGCGGCATCAGGAGCGCAAGTCATGGATTTATTCACCTCCGTAAACCGTTGAGCTGGCACACGCGGGCCAGCAGACTTCACGGAATGAGGACTACCGATTTGGGTATCACAAATGTTGCTTTTTTTCGAATCTATTTCAGGTTTTCGGCGAACATATACAATGTGACCACTCCTAGCATTGCTTCCGGGAGATCTATTTACAAACTCCGATACGGAACTTTTGGTTCCAGTAACCTTATCGATCTCACCAGCAGCACATTCACCATCAGCCATTCCAATAGATTTTGACACCGTCATTGGGCTTTCAGACACGCAAAATCCAGCAATTGTGATTTCTGTTGAGGAATTATGCTGCATATCAGATATAGTAATTACGAAAAAATTCTAAATTAAAACAAGCTACAAAAGAGTTGATCAATTATAAGGACACAAATGAAAATGATGAGGAATTCAGCTCCTTGGACAGAATGGGTAAGAACCATTCAAATTGAAATGACAGTCCATTATCTTACACGAAACTAATTCCGAAAATAACTCTGTAAAAAGTTGAAAACAGTATTTGGCGCAAGAACATCTTCTGACGACTCCAGCCAACAAGATAAAACTGCCACAACTAGGAAACATAAATTTGGAAACTTTTTATATCATGATTTCAAGAACAGAATTCCACTGCATTGTACCAACGGCTTCATCTAAAAGCCCAACAAGAATCCATTGCTCAAGCCTACTAATATACCTAACAATCAGCCAGAGTGGAATAAAAGACTTGAAAAAAAAAAATTTAATCACAACCATTACTAGCACAAATTATTCAGTTCTCTCAAATATTGAACCAAAATTGTAACAGAAACAAGCAAACAGGTGAAATAGAATGTAAAAGGGGTACAACGGGGAACGGGTGTAGATGAAATCCCTAAGCCTACCGCAGAATTGAACAGCTGATCACATCATTTAGCGCACAAAGCAAAACTTAGCAATTAATTAAAAAAAAAAAAACAAATTCGAGGGCACAAGCGAAGTGATGAAGGAGCTTACAAAGGCCGGTGGGAATGTGAATTGCGTAACTTGAGGACGGCGAACCTGCGCCAGCCACAGATATACATACATATATATACACACACACACACACACAGAGAGAGAGAGAGAGAGAGAGGGAGAGAGAGAGAGAGAGAGAGAGAGAAAAAAAGCAAGCAGAAGTTGGGGAAATCTAATCTAATGTGAGGGAGGAATTGTTTGGGGTAAGCGGACAAGTGTAAAATTCGCGCTCTTCGGTTTTCAGGACCCTCCCTCCCTATCCATGTCTTCATTTACTAAACTAAATCTTGGATTATTTGTTATTAAATTGTCTTTTTGAGTAATTTCTGGTTATATATTTTTCATAATCAGATTATTTTGAAATTTATAACCGAATTTTTATAATATATTTTTACAGAAATATCACGTAATCATATCATTGCCCTGATTAAATTACTATTCTGATTGATGTAATGAAGATTTTGCAAGTTAATTATACAGATTATAGACATTAGATGCCTGATTACCAAGGTTTTAAATAGCGGGCTAAAACGTTTATGGCACTGTAGCTATAGCGGAGCTATAGCAAGATTTAGCGGCTAAATTGCACATGAATACAAATAGTGGCACGCTGCCCAAAAAAGTTATTTCTCAAATAACGGTAACTTTAGCGAGCTATTTATTTTCTTGCTGATTACATATTTTAATCGTATAAGTGGTGTCGCTAGATTTACTATTTGAAGGAAATAAGTTTATTGTCCTAGTTCAGGTAATGAATATTGTTTTGGTGATAATTTCTTAAATTAAAAATATAGATCAAAATATTCAGATATGTAATTATCTTAATTAAATATGTGAGATGCTGATAGTAAATTTATTGTTCTTAATATGTTAATATCTCCTAATTGGTGATTATTTGGAAATATATTCTACAAATGTTAGAAATATAATTCTCTCAGTTATTTATGTCAAAAAATGCAGCATACAATTTAAATAAATATTCATACCTTTCAAAATTCAAAAGAAGTCCATACGAATAAATTTTAAGCTATTACATAATTGAGACCTCTCACAGTAATTTTTGTTGTAATTTTAAATAGAAAATTTAAAAATAAAAACCGAATATTATACTGGTTGGT